TCGTCTGGCAGTTCATTGACTTCGGCATGGACTTGCTAGCTTGTATCGAGCTGATCGAGAAGGTGAACGATCGACGTCTATTCTTCACCTTCTGACTCTGATCTCTCTAGATGTGTAGATTTCTATGTGTACATAGATGTGGATAGATCTCTTGCAGTTTTCTTGCTTGTCGCACGTTACTCTTGTACATTCGTACGATCGTACGAATTTCAGCGAAGGACGATTGGATCTTCGTCGTAATAATGCGTCCCCTGTCGAACGTTATCGTCGTCTCTTTGGGGCATCGCGAGCCCCGACGAGAGAACTTTGACGTTCCACTGGTCTCCCGCTAGATAAATTAGATCCTCCGTATCCTCCCGAATGAACCGGTGAATATCTAATTGAATGTTTTCCTATAGAGATAGATTAGAGAAAGAATTCTTAGTATTCCGAGATGTATCCCGGACACAGTCACTCTCCCAGGTAATGATTCTTCGTATGTCACTCGTCCTGACGATGAAGAAACGCATGATTTCGAAAAGCTGTCTTTTATCAACATTCTAGTCTCTCTAGAGATAACACCTCCTTCTCTTTCCGTGGAAGTAACGGATAATTTTTCTAACCACGGAATCTTTTCTTCGAGGCGGCATGACTGTCGATACACGGATCCTTTTATCGAGAAGCATGCTTACGTAAGACCTCGAGGAACGTTCGTTTGCTCGATCTCTGGCTCCAAGAGGCAGCACGCATCAGGTAAAGAGATGTTTGTTCCATTCATCGAGCAAAGATATATCACACGAGTCATCATTGTTGTTGTCGAAACAGTGTCGAAACAGTGGACAGTTCACTATTGTATTGTAAACATGGTGTAAAGTTGATTAACCGCCCCCTGCCCCCTGTCACCGTGCCTGAACTTTGAACGAACCGCATACGTTCAACTGTCCATTAGCAAACGGGACGGTCAGGATCGTGTAGGGAGTCCTCTTCCTCTTGGTTTTCTTCACGTTGGTGACTGACAGAGAATTGAGATGGTAGTTGTTGGAAGTAGACTAATACCGTTGAATCCCCTCCCCTATACTTGACTCTCACCAAGTCCAAGATTGTACGAGACGAGCAAACTATTCGTCTTTGACCGCATCTCTCACTCTCTTTGACCCTTTGATGTCACTCGAACCTACCTAGACCTGTGAGTGTTGCGGAACAATTGCTGGTAATTTGGTACAGACCGGTGAGTTTGTGAAGCCCAGAAATCTCGAAAAACGATCTCATGCTAGATCGCACGTTGCAAGATTGACCCGTAAATCACCTATAAACCTATATAAACGGTGCGTTTACACCACCGACACCGTAGCATCCTGTAAAAGACATCCTGTATATAAAATCGTAAGAATCCTTGCAGCAGGATATCTCGAGAAGCCCAAGGTTTCGTCGACGAGTCGACGACTAGACGATCGCAGACCCGAGTTTATTTCGTCATTCTGACGAAACTACACATTTTAACGGACAACTCTTTTTATAAATTATAAATGAGAAGAAATATAAAAAATTACCAGTTTTTCTATTTGATTTATGTAATATTTCGCAATATTTCAAGTTTTGAATACGAATCGCCGATCGTGTCATAAATTATGCTTGAAAAAACGAATTAACGAATGAACGGCACTCTCTACCGTCCGTCGATTGTTCCGTCGGTCAAAACCTTGGGCAATTCCATTCCATCCAGTGTTACGAGTGTAGGTGTGCGTGTGTATATAAGACATCCTTCGGAAGGAAGGCGCTCGCGCCGTGAGCGTGAAGCAGGATCGAGAGAGAACCGCGTGTGGGAACGCCTGTAATGAGCGCGGCAAATGTTCCGAAGTTGCGGGGATAAACGACAAGTAGGATACCACGTACACACGCATGCCTGTTTCTTGCTCTCGAACAGTTCAACAGCTTCGAGCAGCTCTGCATCAACTTCACCAACGAGAAGCTGCAGCAGTTCTTCAACCACCACATGTTCGTCCTCGAACAAGAGGAGTACACGAGGGAGGGCATAGAGTGGGCCTTCATAGATTTTGGCATGGACCTGCTCGCATGTATCGACCTAATCGAGAAGGTACAAAGGACCGCGGAACAATCCTGGCCAGCAAAGACCCGACAGATGGGTTCGGCCGAAATGATTAAGAAACAAAAGAAAGTCTGAAACAAAAAGAAAGCAATCAGCGACGTGAGCTGAATAACGCACGAGTGAACGATACGACGAGGATTTGCGACCCACCGCCAACACACCACCACCAGCACGCAGGAATCCCTGATGATTTATCGCAGATCAGAGGAGACCGCCCCATACTAACGCTTTTTATCCTGGAAAGGCCAGTCAAGTGATCGTCCACTGTTTTTTTTGTATCCGTGTCATATCTTGATCGTAATATCTGTTTATCCCGATCCTCCTTCATCCGATCCTCTCTTCTTTGTGTCTCGGTCTCGATCTTTGGTTTCAACCGCGTATTGTTTGTCGTCTCAATACCGCGCTTTATTTATTTATCAATACCACGACTAAGTGTTCTACAGTCCTTTCCTCTCCCCCGTACATCGGGGATCGTAGATCGTCGTCAATTTTTGCGTCATGATAACGTAACGGGTTGTAATCGCGAGTCTTTTTACTAAACGGAAGGATTCGTACGTGTTTCTTTTCTTTTCTTTTCCTTCTCTTTTCTTTATTGTAATTCATATGCACAAAGTGCATCGTATACGTATTCGTGGCGGGAATTCCGCGAAACTCATGATCGAGTCCAATAAGTTTACAAGACTTGGATCCCTTTCTTTCAGAATCGCGCAGATATCTCGAAATAATGAAACGTAACACACATATATATATATATATATATACGACACAGCAGACATCGACTCGAGGTCGCATCGAATCTAGTCTCACTGATAATGTTTTCTCTCTGTACCCCAACCCCGATCCCCTGTTTGATCCTTTCTGCTCATCTATCCCTTGCCTTCTGTCACACGTGTCTCGCCGCACGCCTGCGCGCGCATATGCCGCAAACAATAGTACAACGGCTTTGAGCAGCTCTGCATCAACTTCACCAACGAGAAGTTGCAGCAATTCTTCAACCACCACATGTTCGTGCTGGAGCAAGAGGAGTATAAAAAGGAGGGCATCGATTGGGTGTTCATTGACTTCGGCATGGACTTGTTAGCTTGTATCGACCTAATCGAGAAGGTATTTTATCGTCGGTGACCTCGTGGTCACGGTTGAGAATTCGATCCGCCGCCAGCCGGCCAGACGATCGAGTCCATGGATGATGAACGAGTTTGACGTGATCGACTTCCGGAATCTTGATCGACGTTTCCGGGATCTTTCGCCAAGACACCAGAACCTGATTGCGAAATGTTGATGCTGCTTTACGTTGACTTTGCGCGCTTACGTCTATGATAACCAGTTTTTCCATTCGGCCGAAAGTTCTCTTCGACGATGACTGAATCAAGGTACTTCCGCCGACTTCCGAAGGTACTTGGTACAGGTGCTTCGCTCCACTTTCTTTCTCTTTTCTCTCTTTCTCTACGGTCATTCTCTTCCCCTTTCGCTTCGTGGCCCCGCCCCGCTCTCCCCACGTAACATCCCGCCGCAACGGCACCAATGTCGTGTCCGTCGTGAAAGAGGGTCGTTCAATGAATTGAGCGACGGTCAGAATGAAAATCACTGTGTGACTTCTCTTTGAAGATCTACTGGGTCCGGTTCGCAATCCTGAAGAGACCGGGACGAACCGAAGCAAAGGAAGAAAAGCGGGAACGCCGCCAACGAAGTTCACTATCAAAATTAATTGCAATTGGTAGACGAGGAGATGATGAATTTTGCTGCTTTTTTAAGCGAACTTTTCCAGCGAATGTTGAATCTTGATGATCCGTGAAAGCTCGATGATTAAGAGATGCACCCTGTTGGGCGCGATATTAATCAACGAGTTTTAGAATAAAGTATAGAGTAGAGTAGAATAGAAAATTAGAGACAAACTACTACAAATTATTTGAAGAAACGAACGCCGACGAGAAATTATAATAATGGCTCGCACGCTCGCAGCGACGAGCGTGCTTAGCAACAATTAGCGACCCAGTACACTAATGCCCCCTGCCCCCTTGCCCCTGGGAAAAGAAAAAAACACATAGAGTGTCATCCCCTGAGTTCACCATGCACCCCGCACCCCGCAAAAGTCTGTTCGGTTAATCGAGATGCGATTAATCGAGCAAACTTTGTCGACACGACAAAGTTTGGGCGCACCGTCGCTGTCAACGGACGTTACGACAAACTTGAGAGACTTGAGATTATTGCGTCTCTTTGAGAAGTCTCTTTGAAGTGAATAAGACTACCTTGATTCTCGAACTCGAACGAACCACTCGACAAGATTCTCTCGATTTCGTCGCACGTTGGGAAATAACCGCCAAACGGGCACATTGAGTGCACCCTCTCTCGACACCCCTTTGACCCGAGTGTTGAGCAACGCTGGCAACCCTGGCCCCAATACTCATCCCCCGCCCCCTGCCCCGGCCCCAAGTGTATTTCATCGAACGATGAAAGCGCAGAATCGATGTCATCATCGGTCGAGCATCAGACTCCTTGCACTCCAGGCAGCACTAATGACGGCTGTTCCCACCTTGTTTCTTTTTCCGTTCTCGTCGCTTAACCCCCCTTCGTGCGCGAATACTGCATGGACGCCGCACTCTTCTCTCGCTCGGTCGGTCGGTCGAGCAGTTCAACAGCTTTGAGCAGCTGTGCATCAACTTCACCAACGAGAAGTTGCAGCAGTTCTTCAACCACCACATGTTCATCCTCGAGCAAGAGGAGTACAAGCGCGAGGGCATTGAGTGGACGTTCATTGACTTCGGCATGGACCTCCAGCAGACTATCGATCTGATCGAGAAGGTACCACCTGGCCGGCCGCCGCAGGCCGCGCGGCAGGTCGAGCGCGATCGTGAGATCGCCCGTGAGGACGCCCGAGGACACTCGAGATTCCTCGCGCGAACATTACATATATAGATCTGCTAGAGACCGCCGTTGAATGTGCTCCTGTCTTGACTGTCTGCTCGATCGATACTAACTCTATTTCCCGTCATCGTCTTTGGTCTCCGTCTATCGCCGCGTCGGTCGAAAAGTGGCACGATTTGGGGTAATGAGGACAATCCGTCGATTTTCTTTCGAAAGATCGACATTGAAACGCAGTAGTTGAAACAACTATGAAAAAGTGTACAACACCTCTTTCGTCGTGTCACCTTCGACTGCGCCGCGACAGAATCCAGGATCGGAGGCGGATGGACAGCGCCCGACACGGGAGGACGCGGATGTCCTCTGCGCATCGTTAAACCACTTTTTCTCTTTTTTCTGTTTTCTCTCTTTGTTTTTCTCGCACTATCACACACTCTCTCTCTCTCTCTCTCTTTTTCTTTTTCTCTCTCTTTCTCTCTATCTCTTCCTCGCTCTTCGCTGTGTGCCTGTGTTGCGTGTTGCATCAACCACGTCGCCGTGGTGCATGCAGTTCAACAGCTTCGAGCAGCTCTGCATCAACTTCACCAACGAGAAGCTGCAACAATACTTCAACCACTACATGTTCGTGCTCGAGCAGGAAGAGTACGAGCGCGAGGGTATCGAGTGGACCTTCATCGATTTTGGTTTGGATTTGCAGCCGACGATCACTCTGATCGAGAAGGTAAAGCGTCGGTCCGCCTAAGACCCGGGCTCGAGCTGGATCCAGCTGGATCCGTCGTATAACCAGGCTCTCGCTTTACTTTCTCGCGAGCTTACGCGCGAATTTGGGAAACTGCTGTTTACGCTACCGCGTATTGTTTGCCTCTCTGTATATACATGTGTGTGTGTGTGTGTGTGTGTGTGTACCAATATTTAATTGTATACATATTTAGTTTCATGATTGTTGCGAGTCTAACACGTCCGTTGGGCATGAGATACGCATCTCGAAGAAAGTTTTCATAGCAAAAATTGTCCACGATGTTTGTCGACGTGGAACTGTCTTTCTCTCTCTCTCTCTCTCTCTCTCTCTCTCAGATTGAATTTAAATATTTCCGTTTGAGAAATTTCGCGTTAAACTCGGAACAACATGCATATCTCGCTGTACTGAACGAAAGGACCGACGCATCGGGAGAGGCGATCGCGTTCTCACGCTGACGGAGCGGATAACAGCGAGAACGTCAGCAAAGTCGCGAACAAGTTCGCGAAAATTCGCGACAAGCCTCACCGACGCATCGCTCTGGCGAATCGAGAGAAGTAGAATTACGATGTAACGCAATACTAAGAGTAGCGTTGGGGTTTTCCCTGTACGTATCCCGTAGTCTAGATATAGTGCAAGATTAATTATTAGTCGACAATTAATTCGTACGGACCTTGGCTCGCAAGAGCAAGCACTGACTCGCCGGTTTGATTTAACCGTCTCAAAGAGAAATTAATTCGTGCATTAACGGCGCACCTCGTAATCGGCCGATTTAACGAAGTTGCAGGCTGATTCTGGCAACTTTTAACGGCACTGTCGTTATCGTTGCATTTTCGTCGCGCCATTCTACGATGTATATACATGGTAGAAGAGGATACGCGAGACGACAACGTAACGACAACAGTGTCGTTAAAAGAGTAAAACGGGACGAGCCGATTGGCGAGCAAGTAGATAACACGAGCGTGTCATACCATATCATCAAGTAGAGCCACCAAGTAGTCTGTTTTCAGTAAAAAGTTGGGACACTAATAATAACGAGAGTTTCGCGAATCAAAGTTGCCTTCATCGCCGTAACTTCATTCGGCAGAGACGAGTTTAAACGAGCGATATTGAACGAGGTAACATTCGCGGATTATAATTCATGCGGATTTCCGAGAAGAAGAAAGTACAAGATAACTGTTTTATAAAATCGATATATTATTACTACATTTTCGCGTAAACGCTACTCTTGGAAAATGCGAAGTCCTCGAGCCATCGCGGAGACTGACGCACAACTTTTCTCTGTCTCTCTCTCTCTCTCTATTGCCTCGCGATCGCAGCCTATGGGTATCCTGTCCATCCTTGAAGAAGAGTCTATGTTCCCGAAAGCCACCGACAAGACCTTCGAGGAGAAGTTGAACAACAACCATCTCGGCAAAAGCCCCAACTACTTGAAGCCGAAGCCGCCGAAACCGGGCCAACAGGCGGCTCACTTCGCCATCGGCCATTATGCCGGCAACGTAAGTATAACTCTACTATTCGAGAGAGCGAATAGATCCTCTCAGCCACGCGAGATTCTCTCTCTCTCTCTCTCTCTCTCTCTCTCTCTCTCCCTCTCCCTCTCTCTCTCTCTCTCTCTCTCTCTCTCTCTCTCTCTCTCTCTCTGTCGGAAACGGTACTGAAAGATACCGCTCGCATTCCAGGTACCCTACAACATAACCGGCTGGCTAGAGAAGAACAAGGACCCGCTGAACGACACGGTAGTCGACCAATACAAAAAGTCTAGCAACAAGTTGCTGGTGGAGATCTTCGCTGATCATCCCGGTCAGTCCGGTGACGCCGGTGGCGGCGGCGGCGGCAAGGGCGGACGTGGTAAGAAGGGCGGTGGTTTCTCCACGGTGTCGTCGTCCTATAGGGAACAGTTGAACAACCTCATGACCACTCTGAGGGCCACCCAACCTCACTTTGTCCGTTGCATCATCCCCAATGAGTTGAAGCAACCGGGCGTGATTGACTCCCACTTGGTGATGCATCAGCTCACTTGTAACGGTGTACTTGAAGGCATCCGTATCTGTCGTAAAGGATTCCCCAACAGGATGGTGTATCCTGACTTCAAGCTACGGTAAGAATCGTCTCTCTCCGATCAACTAGTCAAGGTTGTCAAGGTTGTCATTCTCGAGGAATCGAGTCGAAATTTTTACACAAGACTCTTCGCGAACAGTATTCTTGCAGTCTTTCTTCAGCGGTTATAAAACGTCAACACAATAATATTAAGAAAGAACGATATCTAAGAGGATGTTTTCATCTTTTTTTTTTTTTTTTGAAATTTGAAAGAAAATTTCTTTCCAGGATAGCAGTTTGATAGTAATGATAGTAATGATAGTTCTCTCGATCCTCGAGCATAGTGAATAGCGATTCTCAAAAAAATCTGTCGTCGTTTACCGATTCCCTTCGAATTTAGATTTCCTTCCTTCTTTCTTTTCCAATTTTTGGTCAATATGCGCCTCGACTCGACAGATTTTTGTGAATACTTTGAGGGAATCTCCCCATTTGTCACGCGAATGACTCTTAGCGGGAAAGCGTGGGAAAGAGTATTACGTTCCGTAGCGCATCGATTCGCAATATATGACGTGACTTTTATGTTGTGACCGTTGTGTAGTTACATGATCCTAGCGCCGGCCGCAATGGCGGCCCAGAAAGAACCCAAGGTCGCCGCGGCTAAGTGTTTCGAGGAGATCGCTCTCGATCCGGACAGCTACAGGATCGGTAACACCAAGGCTAGTTGACGCAGATAGAAATTAATCCGACTATTCCGCCCCGACTTGACCGACTTTGGGTGCTCCACCCCCCCCCCCCTTACCTCTCTAGCGAATGCAATGTCAACCGTGTTGATTGTGTCAGAATGCACCCGATTGATCGTTCGATCTCACCCGACCCGATTAAGAAGAGCCCGATTTAGAGAAGTGACATTAGAGAATCGACTCCGTGCACGTGGTACCTGATTAGAGGATTAGATTAGAAGAAATTAGACGATTGGGATATAGAGAATTAGATTAGCGGGTTGCTCTCTCCGAAGGATACTACTCCGTGCACGCGGAATGCCCCTCCCTCCCCTCTAAATTTGAGAGACCGTCATTTAGCGATGAGGAGTGAACCGATCGAGACGACGAAGAGGAGCGTTGGAGATCCGGGGGATCCACGGAGAATCCCCCTCGAACCCCCTCGTGGGGTTATTCTTGTATAGATCCCCTGATGTATTAATTAGTTCGTTTGCCCCCGTTTGCCCCGTGTTACCCCGGCTCCCTGATAGGTACAAGATCTTGGCGCCCGCGGCAGTCGACAAGGCGAAGGAGCCGAAGGAAGCGGCCGGAGCTATTCTGGAGTCCACCGGCCTCGAACCCGATATGTACCGTCTTGGACACACCAAGGCACGTTTCCCCCTGTGTTCCCCCCGTGTTCGCGGTGTTCGTGCCGAGCTGATTTTTCGGCGACCTCCGACACGAATGTGGCTTCAGCGACGCAGCTCGACGACGCTCGACGCGGCCGGTCGAGGAGCATTGTGTCCGATTGCTTCTTCCCGTATCCCGTATGAAGGGGCTGAGAAAGACGGGCGATTTCCTGTCCAGCGACACGATGGTCTCTCGATCGCGCGCGAGCATCGTCGCGCCACCGCTGACTGTAAATAGGCTATTGTCGTCGGTGACGTTCTTAACCTTTTTGGTCACGTCAGTGCCCTTAACGACTGGGCGACAGACAGAAAAAGCGTGAGTCTTGAGTAGTGCATTAAGGGAGGTGCATCAACGAGACGAGTCGCGTCTGATGGCGACCGATGTTCATGATGACGAATTAAATTCCCGCGTGATAATTTGTCCGTCGCGTTTTAGCATCCGCATCTCGACTCGATCCTTCAGACGCAATTCGCAGCGAAGCGTGCCCTCCTCTCGCGAGACTCGTGCTTTGGGCCGCCGCCCTCCCCCCCTCCGCACGAGATCAGAACAGGACCGAGAAGATCTCTCCCTGATTCAAGTATCCCCGAAAAGGACACCCTGTTTATAGTTATAGCCCCACCCCACCTTGCCCCGCCCCCGTAAATTAAGTGAACATTCTCGATTCAACAGCAACGAGAACCGTATCGAGATTGATGATAAGCCTCTAACCTAGCGTGGTGATTTTTTCTGTCTGTTTTGAACACCCACACATCACCGCCACATCCAAATACCACAATACCACACACACGATACCGCACGAAAATGACCGACGCGGCCAAATGCAGATACAAAATTCTGTGCGCCAATGCTGTCCCAGAGCCTTGCGAGCCGCAAAAAGCCACGCGGATCATCCTGGAGACGATCAATCTGGAGAGCGATCAGTATCGCATGGGTCACACCAAGGTACCTAGGTGGTCCACGTCGTGCAGCGTCACGGCGCAAAGCGCGCATTTATCTACCTACCTGTGCAAAGGCGAGGGGACATTCGTGAGGATGCGCACTCGTGCATCTGCACGACCCTCCGGAGGTCCTCCGGCAGCCTCAGCGTTGCTTTGCCGACCCTCGCACATCGTCGACGTCGTTTACACGCCAACGTCAAGGAACATAGTATCGGCGACGGCGACGGCGACGGCGACGGCGGCGGGAGAGCGCGTTCTCGCGCACCGACGTGCGAAAATCCAACATTATATCCGCTGCATATTTATATATCCGTTGGACGTTGGCCATCGAAACGTCGTCGAAGAGTGTCAATTTAACAGCGCACACCGCTTCGACTATTAACCATTCTTCCAGCCTCGTTCGCGCCTCATCTTGACAAATTAACACCACCGATGATCATCGCGCTAACAAAGGACACTCTTGCCAAGCGCACCTTTTCTCAACGTGGTGTGTGTGTGTGTGATGTATGTTGAGAAGCGTGAGGCAACTTCTGTCTAATCCTCGTGTGAAATAATGACCCACTTTCCGAAAGCTAAAAACGGCATGGAAGGCCAGTCTTTGTGGAAAGTAATCGATACGATCGATGTTATCGCGATTATCCACCGGCGACTTCACGCGAATTCACACTGCTAAAGAATTACGCTTCGATTATCTGTCTAGCGGGATTTTGTCATTGCGCAGAACTACTGCCGCTACATTATTCTCTTCGTCTCTCTTGTTCATTTGGGCGACTGTCGACTTCACCGCTCCGGTCGATAAACGAGATACATCCTCGTCGACGAAACGTCGCCGGTATGAACGCGGTATCAGGCTCTTAACGTTCCGCTCTTGGTCTTTTCTCGCTCCCGCGAAAATATACAGGTATTCTTCCGTGCCGGAGTCCTGGGTCAGATGGAGGAACTCCGCGATGAGCGTCTCGGCAAGATCGTGTCCTGGATGCAGGCGTACATCAGGGGTTACTTGTCTCGTAAGGATTACAAGAAACTCCAGGAACAACGCCTGGCCCTCGTGGTCGTCCAGAGGAACCTGAGAAAGTACCTCCAACTCCGCACCTGGCCATGGTGGAAACTGTGGCAGAAGATCAAGCCTCTTCTCAACGTCACTCGTATCGAGGACGAGATGGCCGTAAGTGCCTCGTTTCCCTTTTTCTTCTTCACGGGTTTATCAATATTTTTATTATTCTTTTCTCGCGCGTATTATATTTATAGAGATTTTACGAGAAAAAAATTAATGCCGGTGATGGGATAAGAAAATAATTTTTAATTTTGAAAGATACGAATCGATTATGGTGGTGCCATTTGAGAAAGATACAAGATCAAGTGCATCGCCAACAGAGATTTTATTCTTCTGTGTAGCTTTCTTTTTGTGTTTTACGCTTTAAGGAAATATGAAGGATAAATAAGGTCGGCTCGATCGGCACCCTGCAGCCTTGATTGATGAAAACGGAAATACAACGGTATCGTCCCGTTTCATTTTTGGTAAATTGATAGATTGTTTTTTTTTTTGTTAACATGCACCGTCTCCCTCGAGGAAACGATATTCTACTTCGTGTTGCAAGAACGAAACGTGTTCGTTCCGCGAAAACGGAAAGCTCGAAACGACGCGCCACACGAGCTTGGGAAAATAAAGCTTCGACTTGACGTTGATTTACAAGGTTTCGTGCTTAACCAAGCGAACTCGCCGTGGAATTTGTTTCTTCTTTTGCTGGATCGCGCGCGCGCGCGCGTGACGGTTCCAGCTTCCAGACGTGCGCGTTTATTTATGCGCCGCCTGGTCTTCTCGTTTTCACGGCTCGCCCCCGAGCAAGCCCGGAGCAGCTTCTCCGGAACTGAGCTTTTTCCGCGCGCGCGCTTCTTTCGCACTCTTATAATACTTTTATGCGAGTCTGAATTTTGCAATTTATTTAT